CCGGTGAGAGGGTAGGCGGGACAACGCAACACAAGTGTCATGTACACGCAGCAGTCACTGAACACGCCAGCAAACCAGCACTCCGATATCACCACATTGATCACCACCACCCCCACCACCTTTTTTCGTTGCTGCCATCACCACACACAGCAACCACCACCATCACACACAGCGACCACCACCATCACACACAGCAACCACCACCATCACACACAGCAACCACCACCATCACACACAGCGACCACCACCATCACACACAGCAACCACCACCATCACACACAGCAACCACCACCATCACACACAGCGACCACCACCATCACACACAGCAACCACCACCATCACGATTCATCATCGGAAGCACGCACCGAGTTCAAAGGCAAGTTGCTTGCAGACAGCAAGGTAGTACTGCGGGTTGAGCTCATTGAGCGTGTTTTCAAGCATGTCCACGCGGCGCTTGTGCATCTTCGCAGCGTGGTCTGAATTCTCTTCAAACTGCGCAAGCATGCGGTACAGCTGCGAGTGGTCTTGCACTGAAGAAGAGGGAAAAAGTTAAGGCGGGAGATGGAGGGGTCGTGGGGCAGAGGAGATATGCATGTGTGTCAATGAGTGAGAAGCGAAGAAAGGATCAGCAAACAATCGATCTCGCAGCAGCAGCAGCCCCTGGTTGATCCGTACCGCATGCGACGTGTCCGGACGCGTGCTCATCGAGGGTGAAGAACTTCAGCGCCGCCTGGATCCACTTCTGGCCTGTGGATTGAGTGTTGAATGGTGAAATGTGCGTATGTGTTTGTGCGTGCGTGTGTGAAACCGAGCACACGCGCACACACGTAGAGATACGAGAAACATTTTTGCCTGTAAGTCGCAAGCTAGTTTCGGCATCAACACCAGCTTCCTTGCAACACAGCATGGCACAATACACGCCCAGGATCATCACCCAGCTCGCAGTGCACGACCAATGCCAACTTCGCGTCACCTTGCAAGAAATATTTCCGCGCATCTTCGCTGGTCCGCGCCAGTGTCGTTGGCGTCTGCGTGTGTGTGTGTGTGGGGGGGGGGGGCGGGGTGAATGGAGGATTGTGGTGTTGATGTGGGTGATGTTTGCAAATGGGGTAGTTGAATGGTTGTGAGGCGCAACAAAGCATCTAACACAGGTCAACAAGCAGACACACAGTCACACAGACAGAAGCACATACACAGCCATACACACAGACACACATACACAACCAAAAGCATACACAGCCGCAGAGACACAGGCACAAACACAAAGACACACTGTGTGTCACCGAGAGCCAACGCACCCTGTGGATGTATGTGTGCATGTTGGGGACGTGGAGGGGCAGTGCTGGTTCAAGCGTCGACTTCACGTCCTCCTCAGACACATTCCCTTGCACAAGCTCCCTGACACGTGTACATGCACGTGTACGTGTACGTGTACGTATGCATGTGCATGTGAGTAGTTGATGTAGAGTGGGCGAGAGGCACGATGGCAGGTGGCACATCACGGTGCTTCTCATTGGCGAGGCCAAGGGCCAAAACCGATACAACGGTAGGGGCATCGACACACACACACACACATACAAACATACACACACATACACATACAAACATACAAACATACAAACATACACACACACCGACCAGGAGGCGTTGAGAAGGGTGAGGTGGTACTTGACCCAGCACTGCGCAATTGCGGCCTTCTTCTGCTGCGTGTCCTCATCGTCGCGCTCCTCCGTATCCGCAACCGCCTGCGCACACGCTGCCGATGGTGGTGGTGGTGGTGGTGGTGGTGTTGATTTGTGGTGGTGGCGGCGGTGTATGGTAAGTGAGAAAGCAGTGGCATGTGCATGCAAGTATGTTGTATGAACATGGACACGTGTGTGTTTGTACGTGTTCAGCTGCATTGTGAGGAGCTGTCCAACTCAATGCTCCCCTCTTCCACATGTATTCCCCTCTCCATCCAAGGTTCTGTGACCCACCAAGATACATGCGCGCATCGCTAAATGCGTTCTCGGAGAGGTAATATTGCGAAATCGCAGCAGCGTTAGTTGCCCAGTCCTGATGACGATGACAGCGGCGACGATTGTGGTGGTGGTGGTGGTGGTGGTGATGATAAGGTGTAAGTCACGAATGAAGAGGGTTAGCACTGACGGGCCGTCAGACAGCGCAGACCGTCAACGACACCAACAAAACATCAACAAACATCAACAAATACAAACACACATAAACCCGCACACACAACAAACATAACAAACACATACACGCACACACACACGCACACACACACACACACACCAGCTTGTCGAACTGTCCCGTCTCGTATTGTCGCGCGAGTGTCTGCTGGCAGTACTCCGCAGACTGCGCACATGTGCATGCGTGTGTGAAGGGGGGGGGAGTGGGCAAGTGAGCAAGTGAGCGCCATTAAATGAAGCAGGGGTGCACGTATATTTCATCATGCACGCACGCAGCAAAGTGCGGCGGGGGGGGGGCAGAACAAGCAATCCACGCACCACCCCACCACACCACGTGACAAAGTTCCATCGCACCTTTCCCGGCTGGTCGAGCTGCATGTAGCACTGGGCGAGGTAGAAGAGGCAGTGTGTGTATGTGTTCTCCAATTCGTCCATTCGCTCCTCATCGCCCTGCACAGGGAGCAGCCTGCACCGCGCAGCAGCACAGATGACGTGGATCAGACGACGACGATGACGACGATGACGATGACGACGACAGAGGTGACGATACGCACACATTCACATCCACATCCACACACACACACTTACACTTACACTCACATACACCCACTCGCTCTCTCACACACACACTCTCTCATACACATGCTCACACACGCTCACCCACACACATTCACATACACGCACATCAACACTTTGCGTGTGTCATTGACATTCACGTACTCGCATCGTCCCCAGGGCGCGTCGTCCTGCGCCTTGAGCGCCACATACAGCGCCTTTGCTCGCTGCAGCATGTCGAGTGCGCGGGAAAACTCCTTTCTGTCGGCCCACACAATACCCAGCCGGTTCATACCATCCAGGACGCACGTGCCCAGCATCGTCGGCACAGGCTCGCCCACATCAATGGCCTGACGATGACCAGCATGCAGGCGTCAAAGGACGAGTGAATGCATTCGTGAGTCGCGTGTGTATGTGAGTGCGCAGTGTGTGTATGTGTGTTATTGTGTGTGCATGTGAGTGTGCAGTGTATGCGTGTAGTGTGGGCGTGTTATTGTGTGTGTATGTGTGTGTATGTGTGTGTGTGTGTGTCGGCTTTGCGAGGAACTTGACAGCGACAACCAAGTGTCGCATGGCAATGATGGCCACACCCTGTGCACCCCTTGCTCATGCCTGCCCACCTGCTCAAGGAGCTTGCACCCCTCTGATATCTCGTCCGTGTCGACGAAGAGGCTGCCGATGATGTTGTCGAGGCGCGCAAGGCAACACTTCAGCACTGCAGGGGTGATGGTGTTGACCAACCACAATCAAGCATTCGTGAGTGGAGCCTTTGCGTTTTCACAACAATCACAAACTAACAGACACCACATGGATCGTACGCCCACACACACACACACACACACACACACACACACACACACACACACACACACACACACACACACACACACACAAACCTTGTCGGTGTTCGTGCTGGACGCTGAGCTCTTCCCCTTTGACCTTGATGGCCGCTTGGAGCTGCTTCAGCTCGTCCCGGCACTTGTACATGTGATCATACGGCCGATCCTCATCTGGCTCCTGTCAATCAACGAGAGTTCACCGCAAAAGTGCGCACGCACATACACACACACACACACACACACACACACACACAGAGTACACACACAGAGGAGGCAAAAGCTAACACTGTGAGCCTTTTCAAGTTTGTGACATGCACGTGCACGTTGGCGCTCGCTTCCCATCTGTCAATCACCTGCTCTGCCCACAAACCTTGCGGAGGTGATCCATGGCTTTGATGTAGAGTGGATGCGCTTCATCCACCAGATACGTGTTGAAGGTGTGCTCGGCCGGTGCGGGCAAGTCCTCCACGCGCACGGCTCCAATCACCCCTCGCAGCGGAGCCTTCAGCTCCTCCTCACCTTCGCCATCGCCTTCCTCACCCTCACCACCACCACCACTGCCATCCTGCCGCGGTTCTGCCTCTCCAACACCGTGTTGGTCTCCACCTTCCCCTTGTCCATCGCCTCCACGTTGCCTTCCACCGTCATCGTTGCTCCCTTCTTCCTTCTCCTCCTCCCGCAGGTTCAACGCGTCTGCGTCCAACACCACATCATCATCCATCCTTCCTCTCAGCTTGTCGTCGTTGTTGCTTCTTGGCCGTTGTTTGCTTTCTTCTTGCGAAAGTTTACCGAAATCGTTCACAAATTGTCTACATCGCGGGTGGTTGAGGCTTTGCCGTGGAGCGACGAAACAAACGAGAAAGAGGTGAGGAGGCTGTGGGACTTGGTTCGGCGTCGTGTGGTGTGCTGGATTGGTTGGTTGGTGTTCGTTTGTTGGAGGTGGTCAGTTGGCGGTGAAAGAGGTGAGATGGACTGCAAAAGACATGGATCGGTTGCCTGGGGGTGGCATGCCGCTCTCTCTATGTTGAGAGGGAGGACGTCGAGTAGTAGACGGACTGCTCTTCTGTCGTCGTGTGTGTGTGTGTGGGGGGGGGGCAATTGAGTCGTGGTTGTTTGTGCACTCCATCTCCGTTCTGTGCCGTTGACTTAATGGATACATATGATGGCCGTTGTTCTTCACGTACACGCACATGTACGTGCGCTCAAGTTGCTGGTCCCTTGGCCAAGCGCAGCAACACCCCATGCATGTACACAGACACGCAAGCTTTGACTCGACAAGACGCTCATTGTTCGCGCCCTTCTTTGATGTCGTGTCCACTTGCTTGCTCACATGTTGTTGTTTTTGTTGTGCCGCGTGCCTCCACGCTCTCCTGTCTCTGCCACTGTTCACATGGCAGTCGGCTTTTTGGCGCCTGTGATTGTTGACACCTGTTCAAGAACGTCTGTCGTTGCGTACTGAGAACAAGAGAAGAAGGTTTTGGCACAAACACACGGACTTCGCTTCGGGTAAAGTCCACTCACTTTCCACACCCTCTCATCTCACACTGGGCCACTACCATCCCCTTTTGCAGCCGCTTTGCGTTCGTCTTGACCCCCTCCGCATTGCTCTGTTTCGCATTGTCGTCTTTTCCCACACGCCCTCAGTCTGGCTATTATTTCACCCACACCAGTCACCTTTCACTGCTCATCACTGCTCATCACCGCCAACCCACCACCATGTCTAACCGCGCTCCCTCGCATACCACGCGACTGTCTCGCAATGCGCGTCCCTTCTATCCGCCCTTCCGCCATCCACATCGACTCAACATCCCTGCACGCCACCACGTCTTCAGAATGGTGCGTGTCGAGTTTTGAGCGAGATTCCTCTCCACTGTCGCCGTCTTGAAGACTGTGAACCCTCTTGGCTGGCTGATCTCAGGGCTGCTGCCATTTCTTGTCATAGTACTGCTGTACACCACAGCCATCGCCTCACCACGCCCAATCCCTTGCGCTCCTTCGATGCGCACATGCATGTCTTTGCGTATGTGTCCATGTGTGCTCATACGGTTTTGTGTGTGCGCGCATTCGTATGTGCGTGTGTCCATGTGCGCGCGTGTCCATGTGTGCGTGCAGAGCTACTACAAGGACGGCGACGGTGCGCCGTTCTATCCACCACCTGGCATGGAGCGAGATGTGCGTGATTGCCCTTGCCACTATCACCTCCATGCACCACACATGCTTGTTGAGGCTTGTCGACGCTTGTTTTGTTTTTGGTTGTCTTGTATCGCAGTAATCGCACGTGTCGTTGACTCAAGTGCTCTGCTGCATATATATGTGGATATATGTGGCGCTGCTCACCCAAATATGTGTGTGTGTGCGTGTGTGCGTGTGTGTGTTCGACATGGACAGCCGTCGCTTGTTGGAGGAATGGGTCCAGGACACATGCCTTGTACGCGATGCCTTGTTTATGTGTTGTGTGTGTGCGTTGTGTTGCGTGTGTGCGTGTGTGTGTGTTGCGTGCGTGTGTTGTGTGTGTGTGTGTGTGTGTGTGTGTGTTGCGTGCGTGTGTTGCGTGTGTGTTCGAACAAAGACCTGTCCGTCTGACTGCCTGTCATCACGGTGTCCTCACCAATATCTTCCCATGTCCGCACCGCCGCCACCGCCACCATATCGGTGTCGACTGCAGCGTCGAGCGTGCCTGCAACCGTCTCTGGCCCGCTGCCCCCGTTTTCGCAGGGCGGCAGACCCATGGGAATGCCATCAGGGTATGAGGACGATGATGATGATGATGTTGATGATGACAATGATGGTGTTGATGACGCTGCTGCGTTCCATGCTGCTGCTGCGTTGTTTGGGTGTGCAGTTGCGTCTGTGTTTCTTTTCGCCTTGTGCTCGTTGCGCATCCGTCCTTCCGTCCATCCCCTATTCGTGCGACTGCTCTCCAACCTCACACGTTCTCCCCCCCACCCCCAACATTCAAACGCTTGTGCAGACTTGCGCGGATGCCTGGCTCACCCTCGCGTCAGAGCGGTCTTCCAAACATGGTTGGCGCTTGCACACGCACACACACACACACATTCACACATTCGTACTCACATACACACACACACATTCACACATTCGTACTCACATATACACACACGCGCGCGCACACATGCACACGCGCACACACTCACATGTATGCATATATGCACGCACGTGTTGGCGGTGGTGTTGCGTTGACGGACCAAGACATGTCCGTCTCCTTTGCTGCTGCTTATGTTTGCTTTCTCACACGTGCCTGTGGGCGTGTATCTTTGTGTGCGTGTGCAGATGATGATGAACGGAATGGCGCAAGGCGGACGAATGCCGTAAGCTGCAACACCAGAGCACACACCTACACACACCTACACACCTGCACACACCTACACACTTCATTGGCCTTGCACATCCACGCGCACACTTGACTGCACGCCAATCTCTGGGCTTGACTCCTCGATTCACACGTCTTCCCTTTTTACCCTTCGTCCTTCTTCTTCCTCCCTCTCCCTCCCCCTCCCCTTTGCTTGCTCCCGCCAATTTCATGCACACCAGACCGCAGGGTGGCATGCGGCAGCAGCCTGGCCCCGGTCTCCGCACCATGTCTGCACCCGCACCGGGCACGGCGTACAGGAAACCCGGCGGTGCAATGCAGCAGCAGCAACAGCAGCAGGGCATGATGCAACAACAGCCGCCACAGCAGCAGCAGCAACAACAGCAACAGCAGCAAGGGTTTCCCATGTACGCAGAACGAGGCATGATGATGTCGAACGGGCAGGTGCGTGGTTGTGCGTGTATGTTTTTGTCTGAGGCTGTCGTGCGCTTGTGGAAGTATTCTCGCACCCTGTTTGCAATGTATGTGCCCTGCATGGGCTAGTCCATTCCCATCACCACGACGACCACGACCACAACCATGAATCCCCCCCCTCCAAACTCACAGCCGGTGTTCTCCATCCCACGCCCACAATCTTACATCACCACTTCCCACATCACCAACGCGGCTGCCGCCGCCAGAACTATCCTGCGCTGCACCAGGCGTACGGTGGGCAGAAGGGCCACGGCAGCATGCTTGACCCCACCGGGTTTCCGGCCCTTTCCGCCACCATGCCCCCGCGCTCGCAACAGCAGCTGTCTGCCGTCGCCCAGCAGCACCCGCCCCACAGCCAACCGCCACCGCAGTTGCAACAGCAACAGCAGCAACAGCAGCAGAGAGCGCCGCAGCAGAGCATGCGTAAGTATCAGCCAGTGTACCATCGGCTGTTGTTGCTCCTCGGCCACGTGCTCTGTCTGTGTGTGGATGGGCCATGGTTCTTTGTCTTTTGACGGGGTTGAGTCTCACTTCGTCCCAACTTCATGCCAACCCCACCCCACCTCACCACCTCGCTGCCCCACCCTCCTGCTTTCCACCACCACCATCGCTGTAATCACCTCCATTGCCCTCACCGCCATCACCACCACCGCTATGCGCAGCGTCGTCGTCGCATCCCGTGTCGAGTGCGTCGTACAACGGCGTAGCGGCGGGTCGCGTGCCGGCGCCGCCACCAACAGGCTACAGCATACACGCAGACGACTTCCCCTCCCTCTCCTCCCAGGCCCCCAGGCAGCAGCAGCAACAGCAGCAACAACAGCAACAACAGCAACAGAGACCTGCACAACAGCAGCAGCAGCCGCAATTGCCGCCGTCATCACAAGCGCCACCACCACAGCCTCAACAACAACAGCAGCAGCAGCAGCAGCAGCAACAACAACAACAACAGCAGCAGCAGCAGCAGCAGCAGCAGCAGCAGCAGCAGCAGCAGCAGCAGCAGGGCGGCTCGATACTAAAGGGAGCCACCATCAAGACCGTTCCAAGTTCGTAATTTGCTCCCCTGTGTGGTGTGCGGTGGTTTCCTATGATGTGCTCTGCTGCTGTGCTGTGCTCTGTTTTACGATTGCAGCGTGGTTCTCACTGTGTATCATGCCTCGTGCTTGACCCAACCTGACAGCGTGGGACCTTGGTTTGGAAAAGCATACGGCGCTGAAGGAGGCGTCAAAACGTGAGTGTATGACACCTCAGGCGAACGCGCTGGTGGTGTTTCTGTCTTGATGCATTGTCCCTCCTCGTTGTTCCCACCTGTCGTCCAACGGAAATGGCATTGCCATTGCCCGCTTACCTCTCGCTCACTCAACACACACACACACGCGCGCGCGCGCGCGCACGCACTCCCAACACTCCAGAGCTGCTACCCGGGCACGAGTACGGGCTTGAAGGGCTACTGCAGATGGTGTACACGGACGACGCGAAGCTGCGGCGGCTGCATCGCGGACTGGACGCGTCTGAACCCATTCTCCGCCGTCACGAGGGCGAGGCCTTTCCCCACTTGCTCACCCCGTGGAACGCGGTATGGCGGTTGAATGTGATGGTGGTGATGTGGATGTGTGGATGGTCGTTGATTGTGATGGTGGTGATGTGGAGGATGATTGTGATGGGTACTCGCCTTTCCGCGCTTTCGCGTGCCGTTTGCGCTTGCTCTCGTGCTTTCTGCAACGGCCCGTCTTGTCTTGTGCTTGCTCACAACCTGTGCCTGTCTGTGGGTGCGCCTGGTTGTATGTGTGCATGTGCTTGACGTGTACCTCGTGTGCGGACAACAGCAACAAGTGCCGCCCGTGCTTGGCCGTCTGCCGTCGAGCTACCGCGACTTCCCCGTCACACACGTCTCCCAGGTCAGACATGACATGGCGTGACTCCATTGTTGCGGCAGCGGGTGTGATGCGTGCAGGAGGAGTCCAAGTCTTGCCCTCACCTTGACCTCACACACACACACACACACACACACACACACACACACACGCACACACACACACACACACATGCGTACACGCGTCCATGTGCACCGCGTTGTTTCACCAGGGGATCAACCGGTTTCCTGACGAGACGCTGTTCTACATGTTCTACAACCTTCCTGGCGACATTCTCCAGCTCTCCGCCGCAAATCACCTGTCAGTGCTCGCACGCTCGTCCCTGTGCCGCGTGTTGTGCGTGATGTGGTGTGTGTGTGTGTGTGTGTGTGTGTGTGTGTGTGTGTGTGTGTGTGTGTGTGTGTGTGTGTGTGTGTGTGATGTGCTCACCACTGCTGCTGCTGCTGCTGCTGCTGCTGCTGCGCAGGTTTGGGCGGAGCTGGCGGTTCCATCGGGTGAAGCGGGTGTGGCTGAAGAAGAGCGACAAGTACCAGTACCAGACGAGTGCAACGCAGCAGCACGGCACATACATTGTGTTTGACCCGCGTGTGTGGCGGGAGGTGGAGCAGACGTTCACCGTCCAGTTCAAACATCTGGAGGAAGAGGCCGTCAGCCCCAACCACCGATGATGCCCATGCTCGCCCCTCTTGTCGTCACTCCTACTCCATCCACTGCTGTTGCCTTGCTGCTGCTGCTGTTATTCGTTGCGTTGTCCGCAGTTGAATGCACTGCAATCATGCAGCTGATGTGTGTGTGTGTGTGTGTGTGTGTGTGTGAATGACTGAGCCTGTGTGGAGTGTGGCGTGTCACTTTTCTTCTTGTTGTTCTTGCGTCCTATGGGACGGCCCTTTGTGTTTTTCCACAGCCCCGTTTCTTTGCGTTTTGTTGCCTTTCGCTTGGAGCCGTTGGTTCGTTGTCCACAACGTGTACGCTCTCTGAACACCGTGTATTTGCATGTGTGTGTGTTGTGTGTGTGTGTGTGTGTCTTGTGTGTGTGTGTGTGTTTGGTTGCCAGTTGTTGCATCTTGGATGATTGTCCCATTTCATTAACCGTCAGTGTCACACCATTGCTGTGTGTGCGTATGTGCGTGCGTATGTGTGTGTGTGTGTGTGTGTGTGTGTCTTGTGCATGTGTTTGCTTGTTTGTTTCCCTCAGCGTCTCTCGCCATAAACATCAGCGCGTGTGGTGGGTGATGAAAACAGCACCCATGCTTGTTTCGCCCCCGCCCAACCCCCGCATCTTCCCCCAACCAGTGACAACTTCAACTGTGCGTGCGTGTGTGTGTGTGTGTGTGTGTGTGTGTGTGTGTGTGTGTGTGTGTGTGTGTGTGTGTGCGTGCGTGCGTGCGTGTGTGTGTGTGTGCGTGCGTGCGTGCGTGCGTGTGTGTGTGTGTTGTGGTGACGGCGGTGCTGAATGCTTTGTGCGTTTCCAAGGTTGTTGTCGGGTTACGAGTTTTTTCATTGCATCAACTAGGTCAAAGCAAAGGGCAAAGAGGGGAAAAAGAATAAGGAGAGAGGGAGAGGGGGAGAAGAGGGAGACATGGGTCAGCAGGTAGTGCGACGACAAAAACGGAAGCAGACATCAAATTCACCGGACGAGACATGAAGAGGGGAGCGCGGAATAGAAAGGAAAGAGGGGGAGGAGGAAAACAGGGGAAGCGAGGTGATGGTGGGCACTGTTGGTGTGCCCGTTGCGTGGCGTGACAAAACAAAACGAGGCAGCGTTGGCACAACGCAACACTCGAGAGCACGCCAGAACAACAGGACAACGCAACGCGAAGACCACACGTCACCAAAACCATCTCGCTGCTTGCACGCACGCTGCAAAGGGGGGGGGGGAAGAGGAACAAGAACGCGCCTGAACTAACGTAAGAGTGCGGTGAGGGGGTCACGGAGCACAAGCGGAAGAAGCACACGGCACACGACACATGGCACGTGTCTCATGACACATGGCACGTGGTGTGGGCACAAGGGGAAGTCCACTTGTGGATCCAAAAAACCGGAAAGACCACACGACCACAAAATGTACTTTGCACAGCAAAGAGGTGGGGGGGGGAGGGAGATGACAAGACTAAATCACAGCACAACAACAGCCCACGCCAGACACAGTGTCACCAACAGCACGCGACTGTGGTCGTGCACATAGCGGTGTGAATGCTCACTGGCCAACATCGAGAGCCTGTGTTGAAAACAAGAGGGAGGGGAGGGGAAAACACGTGTGTGTGTGTGTGCGTGCGGGCGCGCGTGCAGGTGCATGTGCGAGAGGAAAGGAAACAAGAGAGCAGGAGTGCACAACATCACCGACCGGAAGAAACACAACGACTGCAACCATAGCCAAATCGACACCAAGACCCTCGAAGAACAGAGCTTAAGGAACATCAACGACTCAAGTACACAAGCAAGCAGGCAAACACAAGTGGCCAATGCATCCTGCGTGCCTGCAGGCACATCCTCGAGTCCAGCGCGGGTGCGGGTGCACGCACGCCTACACGCTGCCACCGCTGCCGCTACCGCTGCCGCTGCCACTGCCGCTTGCCCAGCCGGAGAAGGTGACCTCTTCTGTTGGGATGGCGGTCGTGGTGGCCTTTGGCGGATCTGGTGGCAGGTACTGCGTCATGTTCTGCACGGCGGGAGCGATGCCGCCCTGTTGAGGTCGATGGCAGTGTGCATTTGTAGTTTAGAGGGGGGGGGGGAAGAGTCATCAAGGGGTAAGGTGGTGAGGCAGAAAGCCCTCAAGGGGCGTGCATAACAAACGAAACGCATGCGTCACGGCACACACGCATGGCCAAACACACGCATGGCCAAACACACACACACACACACACACACACACACACACACATGGCCAAACACACACACACACACACACCTGGATGACCAGGAGCTGGAGGTCGCCGCGCCAGACGTTGTCGTTGGTGGCGCTGCAACCGACACGGAACGTGCCAGACATGTAGTTCATGCCGCCGTTCCAAGGGCCATGAATGACGAGGGAGCTGGCAACGTACACCATGACGTGGGCCTCGGACACGCTGTAGAGAAATGGTCACAATGGCAGTATTCAAAGCAAAGGTAAGAAAAACACAAAAGGTGGAAGTTGAGTCCCAGAAAAAAAACACTCACATGTGCACATGTGCACCCATGAACGTGCATGCGCATGTGTTGCAGCATGACAAACATGAATCTACACATACGCACACACACACACACACACCACACACACCACACTTGGTGACTTACACAAGGCTGATCTCCGTCACATTGGCGAGGACGTCAGCCACAGCTCCAACGGCGGTGATTGTGGCGTTCTGCCTAGCAAACAGCTGCAGCGTGTTGCCGGGCCTGACCACGTGGCGAGACAAATTACACATACACAAAGCAACTGGATGTGTGAGTGACAATTTGGCTCTGTATGCGCATGTCGCAAGCGATTTACACACACACACACACACATACACACACACACACAAACTCACCCCTTGGACAAGACGATGGCGTTGTCGTTGGAAGAAATGTCAAACAGCACTGCAAACCAATCGCGGAACAAGGGGGTAGCAAAGGCGAGTGAGTGTACGTGCTCAGGCAAAACGATCAAAACGATCAAATGGAAGTGGCATCCAGCACCCAGGAAGAGAACACCCAACCACCAAATCCAAAAACATTTCATCCACATGGCAAAACGGCGGCAAAATTCAAATGCCCCAAAACGCTGTGTCACATCACACCACATCACACACTTCACAAAGCCACACAATCACACAGGCAAACGCTTGCCCCCTTGCTCACCTTCTGGGGTGGTTGACTCAAAGTCCTTGTGGAGCACCCTCATGTAGAAGGTCGCTGTGTTGGGAAGAAAACCCACCATGCCACAAAGGCAGGAAACAGACAAGAAGAGGGGGGGGGAGCCACACGTGAGAACAGCAGGAGAGACATGAAGACAGCGGCAGACTGGTGGATTGAAGCAGTGCCTTTTGCAGACGTGTCCACAGACAACACACGAGCACGCCCACACACATCAAGAACGCATTGCTTACCGCCATCGGTGAAGGTGAGAGGTGCGCTGGGAGCCCAGCCAAGGCAGCCACCATCCAAGACGAGGCCACGGGTGAACTCGTACGTGATGTTGTTGCCGAAGAAGACGCCGTCGGGGAGGCCGATGCCACCAATCGTCGGACGCACGCGCCGCACGGGGATGGAGTCCTCGTAGCTGGCGTTGTACTGGAAGGGGAAGACGGTGAAGGGCAGCAGTATCTTGCTCTGGTTGCCGCAAATGCTGCCGGGAAGACAGCCGCTCGACGCGTCCCACGTGCACTCTGGGTAGAAGTTGCACATGACCTCGTTCCAGGCGATGTTGAAGCACCAGTCGTCCTCGTTTTCCCGGTCGATGCACCATCCCGAAGATGGCTCCCACTCGCAGCCGGCGGCAATGCAGAAGTCGAGGCTGCCAATCTCCTTGCACGTGGGCACGCGGTGGCTCGGGTAGCAGACGCCCTCGTAGAAGGTGCACTTGGGGTCGTTGGTGCAGCTGGTGTAGTCGTCGAGCCAGCGGCAGTAGATGAGGGTGGGCAGGCAGAAGCTGTAGACGTTGTCCCAGACGCACTCTGGGCTGGCAGCCTCACAGGAGGGCTGGGAGTACTGGATCTGCGAGCACTTGGGGAACTCGCCAGGCGGGTGGCAGGCGCCAATCTCCGTGTCCCACACGCACCACTCTGGGCAGTATTCCTCCGTGTAGCCCCACTCGCACGGCATTTGGTCGCAGGAATCGCAGTGGTAGTTCCACGCGCACAGGTCGGGGCTGACGTCGCAGTCGTACGAGTTGTTGTAGCTGGAGCACGCGGCGCCCATGACGGGGGTGACGGGGGTGACGAGGGCAAAGGTGATGGCAAAGACCATGGCGCTAAGCGCGATGAGGCCCGTGAATGCCGTGACAGGGCGCGGGGTTGTCAACGCCATCTTGGCTGCTGGTGTCGTCGTCGTCGTGCGGATGCTTGGCAGAAGGCGCGTCGTGGTGGAGAGCCCTTGTTGACGATGTGGTGGCGCAGACAAAAATGGAGACGCTTGGTGACAGTGGTGGTGACGGTGGTCGCGGTGGAAGCGGCGTGTGTCTTGGTTCTCCGTCGTGCGTGGCGTGTGCAGGGCGCAGGAATGAATGCTGCGATGGTGTGTCGCGTGCTGTCAGGGTTTGAGCACCGAGGAGGAGAAGGCTTGGGGAGAGGGAGGGGAGGGATGTGTCGACACGGGTGCGGCGAAAGCGTGTGCGTGTATAAGTGCGTGCAGACAAGGGATCGGGGAGGTGTGAGTGGTTTGAGATGGTCGAGAAAAATGAACACGCAAGCGAGGCGATGCTGAGTTGTTGCGTGCGTAAGCACGGCATTCATGCGAGCGTGTGCGTGTGTGTGTGTGTATGTGTGTGTCGGGGAGTGTGTTGTCGACAAGATTTCGTGGTGTGTCAAACGTATGTCACGGTGGTTACCTGGGTGGTGGATATGACAAGAAGAGCAGAACCTTCGGGTGTCTCCTGGTGGCTGTGGGTGTTCATGGTCGGCGTAGGTCGAGTATATGTGTTGTGGCGGGGCAGCGCACGCGCTAGTCACGGTGCGCATTGAGATCGTCATAACAAGGGTGCGGTCGATGCATCTGGAGCTGACAGAGAGGGATACAGGGGATAAAGGGCTGCCGACAACCCTGACAGAGGGCAGGTGGATAGTACTTGTTTGAAACCTCCGGATGTGAGTGAGGCACAAGCTTGTCCACCTGACACGCAATAGAAGAATATGGGGGTGAGCAGAAAGAAGATGAAAGAAGCTGTGCTTGCTTGCTTGCTTGGCGCTTGCAGCAGCTGTGTGTGTGTGTGGTTGTGTTATTTGTGGTGGCTAACACATCGTAACGTGTTTGTGACTGTGTGTGTGTGTGTGCGTTTGTGTGTGTCTGTTGCAAACACTTGCCTGGTTGGCGCTGACGAGAAGAGGAGCGGAGCTGACAGAAGCGTGCGGACATGCTGGCGTGCAAGCTCGTCCCATTCAGATTGTGACTGTGTGAAGACGAGTCCCAAGCAACAGGCCCGTGTGCCTGTGTCATATGTGTGTGTGTTTGTGTGTTTGTGGGCCATGTCATGTATGTCATGGTGTGTGAGTTGTTACGCCTAGTTGTGGTGACTCCAATATGAGGTGTCAGACACGGTGCAACCTTGTCCAAGCACAGCCAATTTGGCGTTGAGCTTGGGAAGCACACGCGCAGGACTGACACAAGACACACAAGACACACACACACACACACAAACACAAACGTGCATACGTCTCTCTGACCTTTGCATTGTGTCTCGCCGTTGCCTGGTCCCTGCGTTTCTTGCTGTGGTTGGTTTGTCAGGCAGCCAAGCAAGGGGTGGGAAGCGGGCGGGGGTTGGTGGTTGTTGCATCTGCGCGTTATTTGCTTGTGCTTCTGCGTGGTGGTGGGCAGTGGTGTGTGTGTGCGTGTGTGTGTGTGTGCGTGTGTGTGTGGCTGGTGTGTGTGGTGTGGTGTGTGTGGTGTGGTGTGTCTTTTCGTTTTCCTAACGGTAAGGAAAACTAGAGGGAGATGTTCGATTATTTTCGGACAGGAAATCTTGTCCCACGCCCCACGAATTTTGGTGGAAGTGGCGGTGGCACCGACACGCCCTGGCCCAGGCAGGGCGAATCAAAATAGCAGTCTCCCCACGGCCTGTGGTGGGGAGTGGGGTGGAGGAAGTGGCGAAGGTGGGGGTGCGTCTGAAGGTCAACTGGGGTTGTGTGTGTGTGGCAAGAAGAAAAGAGAAGAGCCAACGCAACCCACGCAAGCAAGCAAGCAAGCCGAGCCGGCAACAACGGAAAACGTCGTTTCAGAATGTCGTGTTGTGTTTTGCTGCTGTTGTGGTGGTGATGTGATGTGAGCGGCAACAGTCCTTTCTTTGACTGCGTCGAGAAAAGTGCTGAATCAGCGACTCATTGTGGAAAGGGAAACAAGTGAAGCAAACACACACACACACACACACACACACACACACACACACACACACACACACACACACACACACACACACACACACACACACACACACACACACACACACACACAGATGTGGAGGCGCCATGGCGGTGATGGAGTGGGTGTTGGCGTGTTGGCCAGTGTGTTGGTTGTTGTTTTGGTGGTGGGTAGCTGCTGCGGATGCGCGGATGGAGCTCGAGGAGCAGCAGCGGCGGCAGCAGCAGATGCAACGGCTATGGGGCCACCTGGAGGACGTGCGCCTACTGAGACAAGTGCAACAGCAACTGCAGCAGCTGATCGACCGCATGCGGCAACTCACACCCATGCTGCCCGCAGAAGACGAAGCAGCAGCAGTAACAACAGCAGCAGCAGCAGCAGCGGCGGCAGCAGCAGCAAACGCGCGAACAGCACGCACGGCTGCAGGTACACGGCGGCAGGCGTGAGGCGCCAGGACCTGTTTGTGCCCGGGGTCAAGACGGATATTGACATCACCTACCCTTGCTTTCGGCAGCCTGCGATTGTGAACGCGGACGAGAGCGGCACGCACCTTATTGTGTTTGCAGAGGGTCGCAACGTCTCAGACTGCGCTCCCAACGGCATGGCAACGGCAGCAGCACGCATGAAAGGACAGGCAGCACGCATGAGAGAAAACGGGGCACACGAGCACGCCACAACAACAGCAACAGCAACAGCAACAGCAACAACAACAGCAACAACAACAGCAGCAGCAGCAGCTGCTGCTGAGACAGTGAACGAGGAGGAGCGAAGTGAACAAAACGCCAAAAGTCATCAGTACAACCAGCATGCCACGCGTGCCGGAAGTGGGCCGAGCAATGAGGTTGGGGGGCTTGTGATTCGCACATCCAACGACTCGGGGGAAACATGGTCTGGTGGCCGCACCATTTACCAGGGCAACATTGACTTCTACACCACGGTATTCGACAACACCACCAAACGCGTCTGGCTCATGCTCCAACAAAGCCCCAACGTCAAGGTCAGCCGTATGTGTGCGTGTGTGTGTATGGAGGGGGAGGCGTTTGTGTGCATTGTGTGTGTGTGTTTGTGTCTGTGTGTGTCTGTGTGTGTCTGTGTGTGTCTGTGTGTGTGTCTGTGTGTGTGTGTGTCTGTGTGTGTGCTTTTGTTTGTCTCAGCGCATCTGCATTCACCCACCATACTTTGCCTCTCTCTACCACCCGTCCCACCATC